ATATATATATATATATATATATATATATATATATATATATATATATATATATATATATATATATATATGTTCTAAACTTTGTATTAACATAAAAATGAGAAAAAAAAATATCGAAACAAATCACGCGCGAGACGACGCTCGCGCGTAGTTTCGTCGTGATGTCGTGACGAACAACGTGGGCGAGATGATAGTCTTCGGCTTTTGTAAGAAATTTGTAACTTAGCAAGACGAGATGCGCACTATAAGAAAGGAGCGTCCTGGCCCTTCCGTCTACCTGCTCGTTCCTTCGTGACGGCGAATCGCGCGCGCTGTTCCCGCTTCGAAGCGTATATTGCGGTCTGATCTCATAATCTTAAAGATACTCCACGGTTGAAAGGGAATCCTTGATAATCGTCGTAGTTGCGTGGTAATTTTGTTAATGTCGGATTATCCTTGAGCGGGCTTACGACGTTAATAGCGCCGAGGGGCGGAAACGGGCTTCGAGAATGAGAGACGCAAAGGGAAAGGGAGACGTAGAGAGAAAGGGAGAGAGAGAGAGAGAGAGAGAGAGTAAATTACAAGTTATATTTAACTCTTCGTTCACGTTGTTCGATATCAAAGTTATTGAACGTAAACGCAATTAGCATCATTATACGTATATGTTGCAGCCAGGAGTGTTTCATCGATATGAGCTGCTTTAGAGAGAGAAGGAGAAAGAGAGAGAGAGATCTAGCAGAAATACATTTAATTAACGTTACCAACGTGACACATGGCGGGAACTAAGCGCGACGGGAGAATTAAAACTTAACAGAGTAAGAATCGCGAGCTAACTGGGATTATTCGTGCAACTACTAACATTCGGGCGACAATGAGACAATTGGCGCCGTAGTGAGGATATAGCGGATTTGCGGTAAGCGATATATATTCCGGCAATCTTTTCTGTTTCTATTTCCCGTTTTATTCTACGGGTTCAACGGCAGTCAGATCGACATATCTATGTGCCCGCGTTGAGGCGATCGACCTTTATTATAAATAAATAACGCGTTATTTTCGCGATACGTTAATTTGTCAAAGACGTAAACGCCGAACAATTTCGTCGATCGATCAGGAGACGAAATTGCGCGCGAGCGACTCGCACGAGATTGTATACGCTCATTTATTTATTTGTAAATAAATAAATAAATACATGACGTGCCGCGCGAAACACGCACACACGTGAGATGCATTTTTTACCTGGTCGATTGCGATCTCACGACGCACGGCCATCGTGGGAAAGACGTCGCGCAACATTATTCCACAACCGTTTGGGATCTTGATCCGCGGCTGTGCCTGGACAGGCAGACTTGTCAGGGTTGTCAGTTGGTAGCGTATCGGTAGATCACGCTCGCTCGCACGGCGAAACATTTTTTATACCGTTATTAACGAGGAGGCACACAGGAAGGGGCGGAGCTCCGCGTAGTGCAACGAAAGACTGCTTTTTAAATGAGGAGGAGAAGCTTTTTATCGCGCGAGGTCGGAGAACGAGTGAGAACAAATCGAACGAGAGAGGGGGAGAGAGAGTGCATAGAGAGAACGAGAGAGAGTGCAAAAGAATGCGAGAGAGAGAGAAAGAGAGAGAGAGAGAGAGAGAGCGAGAGAAAGAGTTAGTGAGAGAACGTTTAGTGAATAACAAGTGTTTTCTGGCAAAAAAATACCGCATCTACGGGCGTCTATTTACGATTGACAGGAATTTGGATAAATACTCTATAACAGTAACACATTATTAATTATCTCGTAACCTCTAGACCTGCGAACTAATTTTATACGAGGCAATAGCCACACCCTTTCCTTTCATTCATCACTTCTTCTCCCTCTTCTCGATCACGAGACAATTTCCGTATCGGCATTCGCTTCCCTCCGTATCCTTTCTCTCCGTACGTTGTTTCCCAAAGATGGTAGTGATGAATGTGTGTTTTTTTATATATATATATAGTACATGAGATAAGTATTTTTTAAGTGATAATAATGACGATTTATTATTACTGCAGATCAATTGATTGTATTATTACGATTCTTATTCCCGTTCTCACATACGCGAGCGCGCGTTTCACAAGTCGTCAGGCGCGATGTATACTACGACTACGGCGATTATTATTTTTATTATTATTACTATTCATACGCTCTACTGCTAAGGTCAAATATACGGACATTCGTAATTTCAACGGCGGTGCGTTTCACTTCAGTCTTGCCCTCATCTGAAAACTACGACGACAACATTGCGGCCGGGCGCACGATGTGAAATAGAGATGTAAAAATTATTAGAATAATTTTGATTTCTTAATTTTCTCTAATTGTGTCGTTTTAAAAGAGATTTATATATTCGGGATATTTTGGAAATTTTGTATATCTGAGATATTAGATTCTATTCTGACATATTTTGCATGTAAAAGTAAATTTATATAGGAATAACGTGTTACACACTGAGAAAAAACACTTGAAATTTTATTTTTGGGTATAAAATTAATTTTTGTGAAATAATCCGTCATTATTTATACAATTTAGTCGTACAACATGCAATACTAAGCCTAGAAAGAATATTAATAACAAATTGTAATATTTCCTGAAATTAGGCATTTGTTGAAAAAAACAATTGGAGAAAATTAATAAAGAGATCAGAATTATTCTAATAATTTTTACACCGCTGTATCAGCGCGTTTCGGCGACGGCGATTTCCTCTTCCGTCGAAGAGCGGCGATCGGAAAGTTTCGCGAAGTTGGTCGGCCAAAACGATGAGTTACCGTTACTAATTCGCGCGCACGTAACACACCGGATTCCAATGCGATCTCCGCCTCGGCGTTCTTCCGCGTTCGATTGTGCGACTGTACAATGCTTATCCAGCACCTAAACGCCGCTAGTTACTCGTACGGCGCTCGCGTCCAGGATTCATGCGCTTCCTGGTCGATCGAATTTCCTTTCGCGCTTTCCTAAACGGCTGCAGCTTAATCGTTTGCCGATTTCCGTCCGCTCAGTTTGCGCCACGCGACTATTGGGAACTATCGATGCGAGACCGGTCTGTATCTTTCGCCTAGGAATCTGTATGCCGGACGAACCGATCTCTTCCCGTCGTGGCGAGTACTTCCGTTGTGTGAAACCCTGCAAACATCTCGAGGGTGTGCCAAAGACGACAAACTCCAAAAATGTCGATAACGTACATACAGAAAGGTGCATACTGCATTCAAGCAAATGTTACATGTTTTTCCAATATTTACTAAGTTTATATGTCCGCAAATAATCATAACTTTTCGTCACGAGCATGAAATTTATTCAAAATATATTCTGGATCTTAATAAATTTAGCATCTTAATCAAAAACAGTAAGGGAACAATACAAGTCGCAAAATCGTAGGCCGCAAGATCATAAGAATATTGATCAATCACAGTCGATTATTCATCGATCTCAAAGAGAATACTCGAGTGGTTAATTTTCATATGACTTTACGATTTCTATTATAAACGATCTCTAAAGGTTCATCTACAATGAAGTCGGCAGTAGACAGTCAGATGCAATAAGTAA